AGAGCGGTGTTGACGGCTTGAGTGGCCTGTAGAATGGTGGAGTCTAATCCACGAAGTTGCGTCCGAAGATGAGGGCAAGTCACCTGCTCCAAGAAATTGGTGAGGTGATGGCAAACCGAAAACGAAGCATACCGAGAGTGAGATCCAGGAGCCCATGTACGTGGAGCAGTTCTCGATGTAGTACTGCTTGAGCCAGAGGAGTGATTCCCTCTATGGGCGCCAATCTAGGTTACAATGAACCTTGAACAATCTTCGGCCGCTGCGGCCACGTACGCCGTGCCAAATGGCTGGCTGCTTAGACCGCGCGTGTCCGAAGACTGCCTACTTGTATTCAATACTTCGTCAGGTCTTGGCAAATGACTTTGGCCTGAGCCTACTTTGTCCGCTGTGGACTACTCTGAGACCCGGGCGCAGGGACGAAGACATACCCCCGTTCAACGGGTCCACAGGGGGCACTCTGTGGGCTCACCCTGAGCACCTGAGCGCCCGCTTTCAAGATGTTCATGTCTAGCTTATCCGTATAGTACGCCCCATTCTCCCTCTGCTTACCCATGTCAACTAGAGTATTCACCGGCGAGAAAGGACCACCACAAGAAAACGCTAGAAACTTTGTCGTTAGGCTTGCCAGCGATGGTAGACCAAATGTTACTATTTATTGTTGATTGGTTCTCAACAACTTTCAAAAACATACTGTAAATGGAAAGGTTAGATGGGAAGTCCAGGAATGTTTGTTTGTTCGCTCAAAAAAATATTTTCTCCCTCAATTCTCAAGCCAAGTCACGTCCACTTATCAAATCTCATGCTTCACAATTGTTTCAAAAAAACAACTGTTGCGTTTTCTTCCTGTCGCTGGAGCTTCAGCCTGTATGAGCCTTGCGTTTTCATTGGTAATGTTTTCTTTTCCCAATCCCCACCTGCCCGGTGACGGTTGTTAGGTTTATCAGTTCATCAGAGGTGTCCCGTCCCACCGCATCCTCTTCCTCCTCCTCCGTCTCCGGATCGCAGTGGGGACTGCCGGGCCTGAACCACAAGCGCTGGCTCGCTCGCAGTGGCTTGACCGCGAACGCTAGATTGCAGCGGACATCAACCTGCTTATATGTGGCTTCCTTGGGCCCGATGACGTTGTCAATTTTTGTTTTTTTGTTTCATTGCAAGTCTTTCCAATCTTCTACCTGCGGCTACCCTGCGCCGTGGGATAAAAACAATTGCGTTGTCTTCCCATCACTATCCTCATCCTCATAATCTTCGTCTGCTGCAAGGCCCGCAGTGTTTCTCACAATCTGGGATTTGCTTTTTTTCAATCACTCCCGCAGTCCTACTGCGCTTCCGGGGCACCCTGTTGTCGAGCTGTTCTACTATGAAGTGCGACGCGGATGCTCCCTCCACGCTTCAGGTAGCACCATGAAGGGCGTGGTACCAGGGTGGGGGGGCGCCACGTAACCGCCTGTAACCAAGTATTCATTTACACGTTTTAAAAAAAACTGATGCGTTTCTATTTGTATTTGTATATGCGCGGCTTTAGCGGTGAAACGTTAAAGCGGTTTCAGCTTATATTGTACCTATATGCGTATATAATATATATATATGTTTCCCCAAACAGTTTACTGTTAGGGGTTCTCAGTTCTTTCTTAAGATGTGTCCGCCCTTTGTGTCACTGCTGGTGTCCGCCCTTTCCCGCTGGCCATGTAGCATTTCTATTCATTTGTCTCCCAGGTCTGTCACTGCTGGTGTCCGCCCTTTTCGCAGTTTACTGTTTGGTGTCCGCCCTTTTCCGCTGGCCATGTAGCATTTCTATTCATTCGTCTCCCAGGTCTGTCACTGCTGGCTGGTGTCCGCCCTTTTCCGCCGGCCATGTAGCATTTCTACACACTCACTTGTCTCCCAAGTCTGTCACTGTTGGTGTCTGCCCTTTTCCGCTTGCCATGTAGCATTTCTATTCATTTGTCTCCCAGTCTCCCAGGTCTGTCGCTCCTGCTGTCTGCCGGTTTCCGCTGGCCATGTAGCATTTCACTGCTGGTGTCCGCCCTTTCCGCTGGCGATGCAACATGTCTATTCATTTGTCTCCAGGTCTGTCACTCCTGGTGTCCGCCCTTTTCCGCTGGCCATGTAGCATTTCTATTCATTTGTCTCCCTGGTCTGTCACTTCTGGTGTCCGCCCTTTTCCGCCGGCCATGTAGCATTTCTATTGGTGTCCGCCCTTTTCCGCTGGCCATGTAGCATTTCTATTCACTTGTCTCCCAGGTCTGTCACTGTCATTTCTATGCATTTGTCTCCGGTCTGTCGCTGCTGGTGTCCGCCCTTTTCCGCCGGCCATGTAATCCATTTCTCCGGTCTGTCACTGCTGGTGTCCGCCCTTTACCGTTGGCCATGTAGCATGTCTATGCGTTTGTCTCCCAGGTCTGTCGCTGCTGGTGTCCGCTGTCACTGGTGGTGTCCGCCCTTTTCCGCTGGCCATGTAACATTTCTATTCATTTGTCTTCCAGGTCTGTCGCTGCTGGTGTCAGCTTTTTTCTGTTGGCCATGTAGCATGTCAGCGTGTCTATTCATTTGTCTCCCCAGGTCTGTCACTGCTGATGTCCGCCTTTTTTCTGCTGGCGATGCAACATTTCTATTCATTTGTCTCCCAGGTCTGTCACTGGTGGTGTCCGCCCCTGGCCATGTAGCATTTCTGTTCATCTGTCTCCCAGGTCTGTCACTGCTGGCGTCCGCCCTTTTCCGCTGGCCCATCTAGCATCTCTATTCATTTGTCTCCCAGGTCTGTCCCTGCTGATGTCCGCCCTTTTCCATTGGCCATGTACCATTTCTGTTCATTTGTCTCCAAGATGTGTCACTGCTGGTGTCCGCCCTTTTCCGCTGGCGATGCAACATTTCCATTCATTCCCCAAGCGTTGCCGTTGCGTAGGGTTTCTCACTTCTTTCTCAAGATGCGTCGGCCCTTTCTGTCACTGCTGGTGAGTGAGTGAGTGAGTGAGTGAGACCCAGCAAAGGCACTCTAGCTTCTGGGTCCTTACCAGAACCCGCCAGATTTCTGGAGTGCGCTGGCTCCACGGAGGCAAACCCTTACCCGTCCGAGATGGATGCACATGTCTCGACTTGGCTCCCAGTAAGCTCACTTGTCTTCCACTTGTTTCCCATGGCCTGTCTGGATGCTTTGTATCCCCGGGCTTGGCTGGATGCTGGGCCGATTAATTTTAGCCCTTGTACGGCGTCCCATTGTAAAGTCAATGAAAAACAGAATTTTAATGCTTTCCCTTTGAATCTTGTATGTGCGTCTACATGGTGGACTATAGTTTTCTTCCTCTAGGAAATACTGCTGGCCATATTGTTCGGAGATCTCATTTTTGAACATTGCTCTGTTTGAGGTCTACACTGGTATAATGTTTTCCAGGTTCGGCGCTTGCACTGCTGGCATCCGCCCTTTTGCCCTTTCCAGCATCTCTACGCATTTGTCCCCCAGGTGATTTCTGCACTTCCCCAAACAGGCTACTGTTAGGGGTTCTAAATGCTTTCTAAGAGTGCCCGTGGCTGCCGGACAGCGTGTCCGCCTTCCGTCCGGCTTGTCTCCCTTGGTCTCCCTTCTTGGTTATCGTGTTCCACTTCTTGTTGGTCACTGTGTCCCTTGGTCACTGTGTCCGCCTTGTCTCCCTTCATTCTTTCTTTGTTTCTGGTCTTGTCTCCCTTGTGGGTCATTGTGTCCGTCTTGTCTCCCTTCTTGTTCATCATTGCGTCCGTCTTGTCTCCCTTCTGTTATCTTTTGTCTTGTCTCTTTTTGTCTCCCTCTTGTTGGTCATTGTGCCTGCCTCGTCCCTTCTGCCTCCCTTTGTCTCCGGTCTTGTCTCCCTTCTTGTTTCCCTTTTTGTTTGTCATTGTGTCCGCCTGCCTTCTTGTCTCCCTTCATTGTGTCCGCATGCTTCCCTTTTGCCCCCGGTCTTGTCTCCCTTCTGTTTCCTTTTGTCTTCCTCCTTGTTGGTCATTGTGTCCGCCTTGTCTTCCTTCTGTTTCTTTTTGTCTCTGCACTGTGTCCGTCTTGTCTCCCTTTTGTTTCCTTTTGTCTCCTTTCTTGTTGGTCCTTGTGTCCGCCTTGTCTTTCCCTTTGTCTCCGGTCTTGTCTCCCTTCTTGTTGGTCATTGTGTCAGTCTTGTCTCCCTTCTGTTTCCTTTCTTCTCCCTTCTTGTCTCCCTTCTTGTTGGTCATTGTGTCCGCCTTGTTTCCCTTTGTCTCCCGTCTTGTCTCCCTTCTTGTCTCCCTTGTTGTCCCGAACCCTTCACATTTGTCTCCCAGCTGCTCTGCCCTGCAATATTACATTTGTCTCCCAGAGCTCTGGGCTGCGTGTCCCTTGCAATCCTTTACATTATCATTTGTCTCCCTGTGTCTACATGTGTCTCCCAGCTCTGGACTGTTGTGTCCGTGCAATCCTTCACATTTGTCTCCCAGCTCTGGCTGCTGTGTCCGCCTCTGCCTTGCAATCCTTTGCATTTGTCTCGCAGCGCTGGGCTGCTGTGTCCGCCTCTGCCTTAATTTTACATTTGTCTCCCAGCTCTGACTGCTGTGTCCGCCTCTGCCTTGCAATCCTTTACATGTGTCCTCGCAAGCCTTTGCGTGTGTCTCCCAGCTCTAGACTACTGTATCCGCCTCTGCCTTGCAATCTTTATTTGTCACCCAGCTCTGGGCTGCATGTCGCTTGCAATCCTTTACAGTTGTCTCCCTGTGTCTACATTTGTCTCCCAGCTCTGGACTGCTGTGGCCGCCTCTGCCTTGCAATCCTTTGTCTCCCAGCTCTGGACGTCGCAAACTCTAGGCGCAGAGTGTTCCGATATTGAAAAACACAAACTGTTTGGGGTCTACGGTGGTGTCATTATGTATTTATTTATTGCGTTTTATTGATGCGCGGGCGTGTGCATCGACAGTTGCAATGGACACAAGCAGTTGACACGGCGTGAAGATAGCAGCATGAAACCTCCTTGCGCCTGGGTTCCTTGATTTGCCATACTTGCAGTGAGGCACTGCTGGCCGGACAGAAGCAAGCGCCCTGCCACGAAAGCGGAAAAGAACCACCAGGCAGCTTCCCCTTCTAAGGTCAAACATGGTCAAACCACTTGAGCTACGCGCTTTTGCAATGCACATGCCGGACCAGTTCGCGCGCGTTTCTTGCGTCAATTATCTTGCCCAAGTGGATTGCCCGCCGCCGTGTCCAACAGAGGCGTGGTTGCCGCGACGATGACAGCCCAACTGAAGAAGAAGTATCAGGGCCTGAACCTTTGCGAAGTCTTCTTCAATGTCTTTGATGGAAAGATGTTAGACGTTGCGAAGGTTCCACCCTGTACATGCACAGTTTGCAACTCACTTGATGCGACGTAATCTTGAGTGACCCAAGCAAGCATATGGAAAACATGGCCAGCACGGTGGCGCACCTGGGCGTGTTGCCCAGCTGTGTCCGACGGCGCCACGCCGCACTGACTTTGCTGCTGTAGTGGACGGCGGCGGCTGATGGCTTTGACCACTACTACACCTTCATCACGAACTACTTCAAAACCAAACGCGACACATGGCGACACCATGTTCATGGATGAGGGGCGTGGAGGGAGGATGTCAGCGCACATGGCCCAGACTTGGACAGGCGCTGCCCGGAAGAGTGGATGGGAACCTGGAACGAGCCCCCTGGGCAAAATTCAATGGGGGCTTGGAACCTGTTAGCTAATTTGCCACGGGCGATCATGGAATGGAATCGACGCTATAGCTGCGCAGTCTTCGACTCCTTCTACAAATTCCACGATGGAGAAACTTGAGAGCAAAAAGGATTGCGCAACTTTTTGGTGCAGATACGGCGACGATGATCCTATTGCGCGGTGCGCAACGAAAGCTTCGCGAATTGGCCCACGGGACCCTGGATGTTCCCCGAAAGCCTGTTGACTTTGCCATGGAGGAGGCGCGTGAAATCAGAAAACGTTTACCATCTTGGCATCCTGCGCAGCATCAAAGGTTCCACATCTCAGCTCCAGAGTTGCTTCCGCTGAGCACAAGGGGTTCTTGGTTTGGGATGAAAACGATGGCCATATAGCCATGTGGGGAACCCGGTTCTAACACAGTAGAACTAAGGAGTACGCTGGAAAATCTTCTTCAGTTGGATTTGCTTTAAATTTGAGCGAACGCCTGGCATCTGGCCGCAGCATGCCAAAAGTTCAGAGGGCTTCATTTTGGCAACAGTTCTTCGCTGCGCGGAGCTCAGCGAAAGCCCAGTGGGGCTTCATCGATGGCTCCAACACAACGCAATAATCACAGGTACGTCAGTCGAATCGGCAACGTCTTGCAACCCCAAGGAAAACGACGCGGAAACTCCAGCGTTCTTCGACCTGCAGAGCCGAGGTGGCGAAGACTGGATCTATCACGGCAACTTCATGAGTGCCAACGCGGTGAGCTTCGCCCTTTAAAACCGTGAGTGATATGAAAGAACAGATGTCAATGGCTGGCAGAGCTTAGCCTCACAAACTTCTCAAGTCAATCTTTTAGGACGCCTCTAAGGCGCTCAACCGGCAACGTATGGACGCAATTTGGCATGTGAGTTTGGCGTGGAAAGCTCAGTGACCGTTGAAGAGGGCTTCGCTGCGGCCTCACCACTGGTGAGCCTGGAACCGTGATCGCCTGGCGGTCGATGGCGCGGCCTTGACAGCTGTTCAAAAAGATCTTCGGAAGAAGTTGAACCTGGAGGTTCAGTAGATTGAACATCGGCGGCTTTCTGTTTCAGTAGACCAGAAGGTCGCGAGTCGGTGCGTGTTTCTTGACCGGCCGGGTCGTCGATGGCAGCTTTCGCATTGCCGCCTGAAGAGTTCAAGCAGAGATGATGGCGCAGGTTCAGGGAGGAGCGTTTGACCACGAGATCAGTTACGGTTGGCATGACGCAGCGAAGCAGTAAGGCAGTAGGGCCTGGGCAGTGGAGTCGGAAAAGGCGCGCCGAAAAACGCACAGGCTGATTTGGAAGGCCTGCTGGAAGACAAGTTAGAGCCAGGTGAACAAGGCGAGAACAGAAACGACCGTGGAATTTCAGAGGCGACAAGAAAATGAGACGGCGATGAAGGACAGCTTCAAGACTGAGAATGTCTACTGTACCGGCAAGGCCTTCTCAACTCCATCAAGGTCAACGCCCTCACGTCAGGCTGTCGCAGAATTTGCTATCATCGTGATGAGCGACCACTCGGAGGCCAACTGAACAACGCGTCGGCCAACACATCAATGAGGATGTGGCCTGAAGAGTCGAAAATTCGGTGCTCGGATTGCACCGCATAAATTTGGGTGGGATGCTAGACATTCTGAGGACTCAACCTTGCATGTACAAGTTGTAAATGGCTTGATTTGACATGGTTCTCAGTGGCCAAAACGAGCATCTTAAAAACATAGCCGGCGCGCAGAAGGTTTGAAGCGGCCGAACTGATTCAGGCCAGATGCTTGTCCACCTGACGAACAGCAGCAGCGTTCCAAGTTGAAACCTGAACAGAACTATGGGACCTCGCTTCCATTGAGCGTTCTTTCTTTCATGCTGCACTTCCTTTGTCACTTCGGTGTTCAAGGCCCTGGGATGTGATCATCGTGGATGAAGGGCACCAAATCAAGAACCCTTCGTGCCAGTTTGGTCGTGCTTTGCGCCGAATCAATGCTCGCTCTCGCATATTGCTTACAGGGCCCAACGCTCAGCAAGTAAGGCAAATCGACTTTTCTGCAATTTCTCGAAAGTGTCACTCAGGACACCCCTCCAGAACAAACTTGGTGATCTTTGGGCGTTGATGGATTTTGTGCCCTTCTAATTTTTAAATTCTAGGCCTTCAAACCTTGGCATTGCTTCAAGTCAGAATTGTTTTTACAAAAGCTGAGGTACAGCCAGGTTTGCTGGGAAACCACGCCACGTTTGACAGGCCGCACTTGGCGCGATTGACTTGTGCCTTGTTGTCACGTTTGGGTTCTGAGGAATTTCTCCGAGCAGATTGCGAAAGGTCTGGGGACTCACCTCGAATGTAGAAATAGATACGGAATGTTGGTGCTTGAACCCACGAACCCGAATGCAAGACACATGCTGATTATTGATATTTCAAACCGCTCAAACCTTTTGCATGACGCTCTCTTGGGTCACCGTTGCTTGCCACTCTTGAATAACATGTTTGTAGGACACTCGTGCGACACTCTTCTAGGACCCTAATGTGGGACACAGTTTTGTGTAACAGTTTTGCTGACTCTTGCCTGAATGATGGTGGACCATGTAGAACCGTTGTGTGATGTTGTTTCTCTGTAGGACCTGTAGGAAACTCTTGGTGATTAGAAGCTGCCTGTTGTGACAGTTGTGCGACACATGTGCGCAACACTTTAGGTGGACCTTCTTGTAGGACACTCTTTGGAGTCTCTTTGGCATTTGGGGAACTGTTTTGTTATATAGTTGGTTGCCACTCTGTTGGATGCTGTCGTGGGCACCTCTATCCAGCAGAAAACAAGTGGTGAGAACCAGCGATTGCAAGCACCTCACAAGCCATGAACAAAAATGCAACGGTTTGACCAGGCCTGACACTCCGAGTTACAAGTCAGCGCGCACCTCGCGCGGCTTTGGCAATGTCGTGGTTTACAAGCCAGAACATGTATGAACATGTCCGATGCAGGCTACCGTTTGTTCTTTGTCCAAAGTTTGTCTTGCTTTATGACGTCCGGATCGTTATGGCGCTGTCGCTGCTCTGTCTTGTCTTCCCAATTGCTTCCCAAGTGTGTCTCCATACTTACCTGACTTACCTGTCTCCCTGTTTGATGTGGGCGTTGCCGCTGCTGTCCTGTCCCAAGTTTCCTGCTTGTTTCCCTTTGGGATCTGCAGATGCCCTCCTGCTTCTGTTCCTCCCTGCTTGTTTTTTTTTCTGCCGCTGCAGTTCTGTCCTTCGAGTTTGTCTCCTAACTTGTGTTTTGCGCAGGAAAGCAACATGCTATCTGGGGTGCGTTCTTTTCTGAATGCGTGTTTTGGCTTCGGGTGTTTGGCCGAGTAGCGATTTTATTAATATTCTCTGACTGGCCTACCTCATATTCCTATTTAGAGCTTGGCACGGAATCCACCAAACCCCCCCGAGCGAACTTTCAAACAAACCCGTCTTCACCCCGTTACGCATTGTTTGAGGAAAACGGATTCTACCGACATGACAGGCTGTAAATACCCCGAGGTTGGAGACCCAGCAAAAGAAAATTAGAATAGTTGGAGAAACCTGTCAATGCAAGTGCTGGATGTACAGTAAACATTGTTCTGGTGATCTGGAAGAGTCACAACATATTTTGATCGCCGCCGATAAAGTCTTGTTCAAACATGTTCGAATTATATGTATCTTTATGTAGATTTTAGAGGTCGGAAGCCTGCAGGTGAAGAGTATTTCTACTTTGGATATGATCTGGTGTTATAGTTGTTTTACACCTTTTTTATGAAGCCGCAATTGGATTATGCGGTACTGTTGGGTGCTCACTTTGCCCTTCCTGTGACCATGCAGCCGCCCCTGGAAGATCTCAAGGATCCGGTTTTGGGGCTCCTCTTCAATATTCCTGATACGGGTGTTTTCGTGCCCCACAAAACCTGGAGCTCTGGAGCCACTGTATGTTTTCTGTATTAAACAACATATTAAATCCATATTGTTGGAGAAGGGTACAAATCATATTCAAAAACCATAAAACACACTGTTTTGTATGGTTTATGTGGTGTTTATATGATTTACACCATTCTCCAACTTTTCAACCCATAAAACTACCAATTTGCCCATACCATTCTAAAAAAATCATAAAACACACTGTGATTTATGTTGTCTTAATGATTTGCACCCTTCTCCAACAATATCGATCTAATATGGCTTTCTAATGGACTCTTTATTGCCTTTTTCAGGCCCTATGAGGTGAGGCGAAGTGTGTTGCCTGGGGGCCTAGGGCCCCACATTTTTCCAAGTATGTTTCCAAGTTCTGTGACAGGTTTGACGGCCCCGACATGAGAGTTTCCAAGTACCTAGAGCCCCTACGTGAGAGTTTCCAGCTTGCCCACGGACAACACATTTTGCTTATTGCAGCCCTGGAGTGCCTGTTTCATAAGCCTATTTACTAAATTTAGTAGTCCCCAAGCTACAAAAATCCATGAAACATATATATATAGCATAAATTCAAACTTCGCCTTTTTCACGACAATTTTAAAAAGTTTCTTCAACCTGTAAAAACAAAGCAAACAACTATTTCTGGAAATGAGCACTGTGCAGAGTTTATGAAGTCTTAAATGTATATATTCATGGTGTTAAAAATGTTTGATCTTTGTTCCCAGGGTGGGTACAACGAGAGGGGAGGACCAGGTAGGACCCGGCACTTTGCAGGTTCTGTTTGTTTCCCCGTGTAATCTGTGTAATCAAAGGTTTTTCAAATGGGCATAGTGGGGCCATTTGGTGCTACAGTCGTAGGTTTCAGATGCTGTCAGGTTCCAAAAGGAACGCATCACGTTTCGCAGTTGAACTCAAGGATCACTTGGCACGGATCTTAAACTCTTAAACGTGGCTACTGCGACTGCGAATTGATTGCGATTAGGAGGACATTACTCAGGGAGCTTTGTCAAGGAGATTGCTTTCAAAAGATGTGCTGCTTCAAAAGCCACAGTCAAATCGGTGAGAGAAGATGAACATGCATTTGCATGTAAATCGCATAGCCGTGCTGTAGCATCCTCTGAGCTCAACTACCCTTAGAAAAAGGAACCTGTGTACTCACTGAGGCTCGAGAACTGAAAAGGCTAACAGCACCCCATTTTTTGCGACGCTTAAAATGCGAAATTGCTTGGGCCCAAGAACAAATTTAGTCTTTCCAGTGGTTTGCGCCAGAGATCAGGCGGGCTCCAGCAGGCCTGCAATCCCCAGCGAATTGCCGCCAAAGACAGATGTGGTGCTGTCCGGGGCCACTGTTTGTCGGTGTCCAGTTTCAGGTCAGCATTGTGGTGCCTCAGTAGATCAGTAGATGTTGATTTGCTCCAGGTGGCTAAACCTGACCTCAGCACAGATGGAGTTGTATAATTTGTTCCTGACTACCGAGCTCGTGCACATCCCTGAGAAAGCTCGTGATATCTCTCACGGTGCCACCTGCCTGATCGGCTCTAGGATCCAAAACAGTCTTTTCAGGTGTAAGGCTCGTGGAGGCACGAAGTGTGGCATGGAGGCCAGGAACTCACTCATTCCTTGTTGCAAGCTGTGAGTATTTGAGTTCGGAGGCCCTTCGGGCCATTGCTACGTTGAAGAAATTGTGCCTTGAAGGCACTTTTCAGATGACAGATGTGACAGTCTTCTCCATTCTGGCCAGCGGGTCCCACATCACCCCGACACTTCCCCTTTGACGTTATGTCATGTTGCAGGGATATGATTTTGGGAGGGTGGGGTCGAGTGGAGGGGTAATGATGGGTAATGAATGAACTATCGGTAACTATCCTTGTGCGATCCTATCGAGATGATTCAAATCATTGATTTTCTTAGCTGCGTGCATTGAGACGTGCACTTGGCTGTGGCATTCATTTTGTTGATGCGCGCTGCACTCAAGCAGTGTGACTAGCGAGTTGTCATATTGGACACATTGTCACATATCTATGCGTTGGCTGCACTGGTAGTTCTATGGCGTAGAATAATTCTATAGTTCCCTCGCGGAAACGAGCGCACGCAAGCCCTCGACTCGGCTGGAGATACCCCAAGCAAGACGTATGCAATCACATGTTCACAAAAGGTGAGCCCCCTTTTCTGGAATTAATATACTGTCTGTCAAAAGCAGTGGAGCGGCAAGCACAATGTATACTTGTATAGAATAGTACAGTGTGAACTGCCAACATTTGGCTCAAGTCACCCGTAGACATAGCGGAAAAAGGGAGCGCGCTGCCGCCATCTACAAGGGACTAGGATAGTCAATCCATACTTCACGTTGGACTGATTAATATCCACACGCAGGTTATCAGCCGTAGCCGCTCTGAGGTTACGAGCTTGTGAGAGACCACCACTACAATTGTCAATACTGAACCTGCAATGTCGAGTTCTGGAGGAAAGAGCAGTGGACAATTCTCAGGAGGAGCCGCATCACAGTCATCGCCAGGTTCGCTGACCGGTGCGAGCTCAGCTGATGCCACAATAATGACCATGCCAACGGGATCACAAGTGTCAGGTGAAGGCAGAATCGCTCCCCCGGAGATGACATCTGCCGGATCCGGTGTAAGGATGGGCAACGCAAAGAGAGTCATGAAAAGGTTTTCGAGATCTACATCGCCGAGAACAACGACAAGAAGATCACCGAAGAGAGATATTGAGAGAGTTGAGATTGAAGATTCCAAAGACTTTGAAGAAAGAGAAATGCAACTCATGGAGGAACTTCGATCGGCTAGAGTATCGTATCAGTACCTAAATGATGAGTATAGCTGTTTGCACGATGGATATACAAGACTCTATGCTGAATCACAAGAGGAATTCTCGCAATTGACAAAATGAAAAGTGACTATGCACACACACCTGCAGGAAATGATGCAAGAGGATGAAGGAGCAACCATGCGCATTGAATAACTTGAGAAGAAGCTCCGACTTGCTGAATCAGTAGCAGACCACATCTACATGAAGTACGAAGAACTCGCTCATGAGAATCATGAGGAAAATTCTGAATTTGATGAGGTAGGATCCAAGATGGAGGATATGACCAGCGAGATGCAAGGTGCTTTCCGCTACATCCAGGAACGGAACCAAACTTCTGATACCTGCAACAGGCGAGCTCAGAACCTCAGAGAAGACAATCAGGCCATCATGAACGTTGCCAGTGAGCTTCAAATGAGGATGCTACATGATGAGAATAGCAACATGTTGGAGGTAGCTCAGAGGGAGGGAGAGAGAGAGAGAGGTAACAGATGCAGTTGGCCGATGAGGTCACTGAGACTACTGGTCATCAGCATCAAGAAGAGAGAATGGTTGAACACCTTCGCGGACAACTGGCGGCCATCAAAGGATCAGAGACGAACATGATCGCAGAGATGGGTCATCGTGACTTGGAACACAAGACAGAGATACACGGATACAAATTGGAGATCAATGAAAAGGAGATGAGAGCGAAGCATTTTCATTACGAGGCAAGGGTGATGTCTGAAGCAACAAAAACGATAGAAGAAGCTGCAACCGGACTACAGAAACAGTAGAAGGAAGACAACAACAGCTGAAAGAAGCCAACTTTGGCTTTGCCGAGGCCAACAGAGTATTGAAGAGGCAAAATCTCCTGAGAGCCTCCACAACTGACAGTAGAGAAAGGGTTGTACTTGAGGAGAAACTCCAGGGACTTGAGGAGAACCAACGTATTGCTGAAAATAAACTTTTGGAAACGAGATCTGAGAAAGCGAGGATGAAGGCTGAAATGCGTCACGGTCCAACGAGAAGCGATAGCCGAGATGGACGAGGGTTACTAACCTCTCGATCCGACGAGAATCACTCACGCTTGAAAGAAGACATCAAAAATCAAGAAAGTGAGGTACATAGATTGAGAAGAGAGCGTGACGAAGTGCACGATTGGTACACTGAAGCCTTCAACAGCTACGGGGAAGAACTTAAAGAAGCACAAGAGTACGAGAACGTGAATGCGGAGCTCAAGCACAGGTTGTCAGAGACTGCGTCGGCTTCTTCTTCCTCACCGATCTTCACAACCAAAGTTTCAAGGAAAGAAGAATCCAAGGTAAAAGTACCATCATGGCCCAAAGTCAACGACCTGGGACTATGGAAAGCAAACTTGATTCAGGCAATCGTCATCGCTGCAAATGATTCTTACCAACAACCATGAATCGGTTGGGTCAAAGAAGCGGTTGACGACCCTGATCCTGACAAGTTGATGGATTCTGGTGATCCAAGGTTTCACTCTATCGATGCGAAGTTGGGCCTAGCACTGACTAAGGTAGTCTCCGACTCCAAAGAAGAGGGAAACAATGTCGCTATGAAATTGAGGACCCGTATCATATCAACGCAAAGGGAAGAACTTCAACATTGATCAAAGGAAGAGAGATCCTAGCGCTGATACTTCTAACCTTCAAGACGACGTCCAACGTTGAGATACTGTACACTTCTATGCGTTTGTATCAATTTGAATACCAGGGAGATAGGAACTATCATTATTCTGGATGAGATCCTTGCAGGAATGAAGCCATCACAATCCCGACTGATGAGACGCTACGTGACTTGCTACGGAGGAAGATTAGGCATTCCAACCTGATGTCCTACGACATACACATGTGTAACAGCCTCAACGAAGGAAATCCCAAGAAAACGTATCAAACCCTCCACGACATGATTCGAAGACACATTGAAAGGCAAACTGAGGACAAGATGCTCCTCGAGAAGGAGAAAGCTGTGCGGAAACAATTGCAGGTTGTGTAGGCCCTGCAGTGGCTGTTGCGCGCCATGCTCACCTGTGAAGCTTCTGCGACCACAGCGTCCGCGCGAATCGGTCTCGACGCTGGGTCTGCAGGCCTCGTGCTCCCATGCGCGGCCTGGATCTCCTCTGGCAGATCTTCAAACCCGTCTGGCAAGCAAGCCAGTAGAGTAGTTGGATCCTTGTGCCACTTCTTCAACCTGGTGCATGTGCTGCGCCAGGTAGCTTTGAGCTCCTGTAGAAGCACATGAAGGGACCATGCCTGAGTGCCCTTGTCCCCGGACGCTTGGTCCACGCAGCTCACAACCGAAACCATGGCTGCGTATGTTTGCTCTGTGGGCAAACGAAGCTGCAGTCTCCGGTACAACACATCGCACAGATATGTGCACCTCTCTCGGTTGGAGTTGGTCGCTCCCAACCGTTGCCAGTCCTATAAACTCAGAAACTCATCCAAGCGGACATAGTCTTGCTGCTGTCTCCTGCCCTGTTGCTCTGCCATCACTATACAAAGTGTCTCAGTGACGATTCCTCCTTGAGCCCAAAAGCTTTCCAAAAATCCATCAAAACAAACAGTTCCTAACTCGTTGTAACTTCAACTAAGTAGTTGTAACTAAGATATATCTAAGTTATATGTTCTAAGTAACTAACCCTCTAATACTTGTAACTAACGTATAAATACACTAACTAACTTATAAAATACTTTAACTTCTATAAGTATAACTAGAGTTAGCCAACTTAAACCTTAACTTATCGAAGTTAAAACCTAAGTTATCGAATTACAAGTTATCGAAGATATAACTTACCTATAAGTAACATAACTCATTTCCAGTCATCCAGTAAGGTGAAACGGAGAAGGAGGAAGAAGAAGAATCAAGCATCTCCAGGAGAGGATGAAGAGATTGCTCACGAAGACCACGAGGAACCTGATGAAGCAATCGAAGAGGACGATGCAGACGATCGCGATCTTGAAGTTGATGTCGTGGGCGGTTCCAGCAGGATGGTAAGGAGGGGAACACTCAAGGCAGAGGCCAAAACCATTCAGCGCCTCCTCACTCATCGGTACAAGAATCCATATTGTGAATTATGTATTCGAGCCAAGAAGAGACACTTCAAGACCCAGAGGGGAGCATTCAAGAGGAAACTCGAAGCATTTGGAGATCTGGTCACCTTTGGCTTCATTGACACCCAAAGGATCATGGATCAAGGCATACACACCGATAGAGAAATCTTCGTGATCAGAGATCGATATACAGGAATCTTTTGGGCATATCCGTCAATGGAAAAGTACACAGTGGATGTGATCAAATCGGTGAATCACTTCAAAGGATTGCGCAAGATCAAGATTGCGTGTGCAGACAAAGCACTTGAATTTGAAGCGGCAATGAAGGAACTGAAGATCCCATTTGATCACTCATTGCCACATCATCCACAGAACATTGGCAGAAAGGAACAACCAGTTCATCATGACGACCACAACAACATGTTTGTTGGAGGCAGGTCTTCCACCCTGTTTCTGGAATCAAATCATGCTGTGGAGTGTGTGAACCATATATTGAATATTGAATTCGAATGTGGAGAAGATGAGAAGAGCCCATGGTTCAAGCTACATGGAAAAGCATTCCCCGGTGAAAAGATACCATTTGGCGCTAAGGTCTACTTCACGCCAAGCAGTCAAGGAAGAGTGCTCCAGAAACACAAGTTCGAGTCTAAGGGAATCCCAGGAATATTTGCAGGCTATGAAGTGAAACCAGCATTTGACGAGAGACGTCCGATCAGGAAGTTGGGTACGCCTCAGCTCACCGAGACCATCGTATTCATGAACCCGATCGAATTTCCGCTCAAAGAGGAATATGAAAGGATCAACAATATAC